ATAAAAGATCTTCTGTTGAACATGGTACATAAAGTTTTAAAATTACACTAAATATCTAGAAGATACTGTCCTAATGGCAAGTTCTATTTTTAATCTTTTCAATAGAAACTGATAATACTGCAGCTGTGGCTTCTGATCTTTTAATTGTGGCCTGGCCTACATTCTTTATACTGTAGAGCTTAATCGGGGTTTAAATGTCATAGGATTATTTGTCTTTCTGAATTTTAAGTGCTTTACTATTTAGTTCCATGGGTATCGGTTTGTTCTTGCTGCCTTTTTTTGCATGGTTACAGAGTAGTACAGATTTTAACAGCTAAAAAAGAAACATTATAAACATGAACTAATTTTTGATTTTGCGCATGGGAAAAATTACAGAGTATTTAGGCTTGAAAAACCAGGACTTCACATACACTATCCCAAACCAGACTTCTAATTAACAACTCTGCATGTGCAGCTTTTCTTATATAGAACTGAAAAGGTACTTTGGAGAATGGGGTCATTTTTGTTGTACCTTTCTTTAAAAAGAATTACTTTTTCCTAATAACTACATAATACAAATTATACATAATATAATTTAATAATATAATACATAATACAAAATGATGCAATAGGGCACTGCACACCAGAACAACTAGACAGAAGGACAGTTTTTCCCTGAATGCCATCACTCTGCCTAACAACTAATTCCCACAACATTGTCAAATAATTTACTAAGATTGTATTACTATTATTCTTCTCTTCCTTCCAAGTACCTATCTGTTTCCATTTATGACTATAACATGTTGCTTGTATCTTTAAAATTTATATTGTTTTATTTGTTTCCTAGTATAATTTGATTGCTTATTAGTAACCTATGACTATCACTAAATGTGTATCTTATGATTCTTGATAAATGTATTCTATTTTATTTTTCTTTATGTACACTGGGAGTATATGCACCAAAGACATTCCTTGTGTATCCAATCACGCTTGGCCAATAAATAATTCTATTCTATTCTATTCTAATTCCAATAAAATGTACCTTTGAGATATGGAGGGGCTGTCAGAGTATGACACAATCATGGCACCTTAGTGCCATCTCTTGAAATGTATACATGTTCCTATGTGATAGAAGTTTTTGTGTGACACCAGGAAAAGAGAGAGTTTCCTTAAGCTACGTCACCTTTGAAAGCATCTCTTTTGCATTTGATCTGAAGAGCAGCACATTTAAATAAAGGAGATTGTTTAATGTAACCATTATCCTAGCCACAGGCATATTCACCAATGTCAGTTCAGAAGTTCCAAGACTAATTGTCTTTGATTTAAATAACTTTTCCTTTATCAGTCAGGGTAACATTTCATATCCCCGTGAGTTTCTTTTAAGTGCACAAAATCATCTATCCTTGGGAGCAATAAAAAAGACAAATGAAGAACCCCTTTCATAAAAAAAAATGTCAAAATATTCTTAAATTAAAAGTGCATTTAAGATTTCCTCTGTTGAAATAGTTGGAATGGGGGCAAATATTCATAAAGTATGCTATACAAAGACTTATTTGTCAAAGCATAGATCTTAATTATGTGCTCCTGAAAAAAAGTGGGTACTTTCATCAGAAATCAGGGGCATGCAAAATGCATATAATCTATTGATATGGTACTCTAGTTTATAATGAGCATTATATTGAAATAGAAATCTGGTGTACCTTCATATAAACCTGATTTTCTTTTTTTAAGTATAATTGATAGTATGCACGTGTGCTTAAAATTACATGCCATTGGTTTTGAAAAAAAATTACTCCCAAAACATTGAAAGATAGCGTTGCAATGTAAAACTTTGTTTTTTAAATATAATGGTTGTCCCCTTTAGCTATTTTTTGTACATATTCAAAGTTCTGTGTGTATGTATATATATTTAGGTAGTGGAATAATTATTTAAACATTCATATACATAGAGTAGTTTTTGTGCCTCAACTTTTACTTTTGTTGTAGAAATTGAAAAGGACTTATTTTTCTGTATTAGAAAGCCTTCAGTATAAAGTAATATGTAAACCCGGTAGTTTAAAATAACATTTTAACTTAATAATGAAGCAAATATATTCTTAGACTGAAAAAAATATTGTTAGCAATCTAGAGACAAAAAAGCAGAAGTCCTATTAATCAATTCTTTATAAATGTATATGTTTTGTTAGGTTCCAATGGACTAACTTTTTAGAGTTTGATTAGAATTAAGAATTTTAACTTGCTTCTGAAAATAGGAACTTTTAAAGACGTCTTGTAAAAGTAGTGGTTTCTTTTCCCCACATGAGTCTTTCTAAATATTTTGTTTTAACGTCTAATCTCATTATGCTTTCTTTGTGTTTAACTTGTATTAAAATCTGTCAGCTATGACTGGTCTCATAAGCACAGTCAGCGGACCAGAATAAGTTAATTATTTACTTGTGTCACTAGTGCTCTTCATCTAATGAAATGCACAGCTGTGTTAGATCTGCAGTTGGACGTCTCGATTCCATTGTTATACAAGTCAGCAAAGGGTAGAAGCTGCTATGATGGAGAGGCCTCTGTTCTTTCTGCTGTTCTGCCTTTCTGTGTCGATTTCATGGATCTTTTATCATTCACTTTCACACAAAACAAACAACACAGTGGCTGTCTGCTATGGGAACCGTCTTGGCATATAAAAGGGTTTCAGTGCCTGAAGTAATTTTAAGTCAGCCCAGATTTAATTTTTGCCTTATAGGTGCCCTTTCAGCATAATAAGACCAAGCAAGTTCCTAGTGAAGGGAAATGTGTAGATTTGACCAAAGCGGACCATTCTATGCATTCAAAATAAATAAATAGCGCCTGTGTGAAGCAGGTGTTGAATACATGATGTACATAGGAACCAATTATCTTGGTAAACATCCCCTGTATCTGTATTTCTCTCTCTCTCTCTCTCTCTCTCTCTCTCTCTCTCTCTCTCTCT